CTGGTTCCCTGCCCGCTCCACGAGTCAGCTCCCTTCGCCAGCATCGCTGCTCCAGGACATGGCTGCTCTTCATTGAGAAGAGAAGGTTGAGAGGGGATCTSAGCAATATGTMCAAGTACCTGAAGCGGGAATGTAGGGAGGAAGGGACCAAGCTCTTCTCGGTGGTGGCCAGTGACAGGACAAGAGGCAATGGGGACAAGTTGAACCCCAGGCAGCTCCTGCTCCATGGGAGGAGGAACTTCCTTGGTGTGAGGGTGCAGAGCCCTGGCCCAGGCTGCCCAGGGAGGCTCCTGCTCTGSAGATCTCCCAAACCCGCCTGGATGCRCCCGGGTGCCCCGTGCTCTGGGTGTCCCTGCTGGAGCAGGGGCTGCACTGGGTGATCCCTAGAGGTCCCTTCCGACCTCAACCATCCTGGGACACTGTGACGTGCTTGCAGAGTTTGGACTCTGCTCACTCAGTTGCAAGTGGTCCTGTTGCTCTGGTTAATTCAGCTTCTGCTTCTCACCAGTGTGTTGAGCTGGTGTCCTTACGTTCTCTTGCTTGGCCCCTTGTGGCTCAGCCAAGTGCTGGCTTGAGAACATGTGGTTGTGGCTCCGAAACTTTGCATGGAAACAGCAATGTGGGGATGGGCTGGAAAATAGGGACTTGTGTTTTGGCCTTGACAAAAAGCCCCAAGGTTTGAGCTCTTAGCAGAACAGCATGGAAGTCACGTAACAGAAGCTGATGGTTGGGGATGGACAGCACATAATGAAGGTAGAAGCTATGTTCTTTTCCTTGTTATTTTGATCCTCCCTTTCTGAAGCAGCAGCAGCAAGAGATCGATCCTTCTAGTTGCCTTCAACCAACAAAAGTTACTGACTAATAAAACGAACAGAAGCCTCTCGGTGTCTTTGACCAGCCCATGATGCCGTTACCACCACAAAAGTAGGTCCCTGGCCCAGACCCAAAGCAGCAGGTTGGCCGGGGRGAGCCTTGTTTGCTCTCTCCATGGTCCAGCCTGCCCATGCAGTCATTTCTGGAGGCCTTGGGTCCTGTCTCATCAGTGGCCAGCTCGGATGCTCCTCACGCGGGCAAGTGAGAATAACTGCTTGGCGGGAGGCAGTTCCAGCCCTGGGAAGGCAGCGCTTTGAGTGTTATTGCTAAACGCAGCGTTGGCTCCGAGCAGCCCCTGGGTTGCCTAATTTCCCTTTTTTTCAAGTGTCACGTTGAGCAGAGAGCCAGGAGGTCGGGAGTCTTGTGCAACAGAGGCACTTGGACAGCGTAGTAGGCGAACGCGCTCGCTTTCATGTAAACCACCCCAAAAGGTGAGGGGATTTCTCTCTCGCTGTATTTTCCCCCTGTCCCTGGAGGAAGCTCCTCCTCAGGGCTCGGCCCGTGTGGCGGAGGCCGCGCGGGGCTCTCGCCCGCGCTTTGAGGCCCTTTCCAGCACGGGGCTCTTCCGAGGGCTCCCCCAGGGGGCCCTTGTGCCACACGGAGCACGGCAGCCCCGGGGCGCCGGCTCCTCGCCTCGTTTCTCGTCCTTGGCATGAGGACGAGTGAGATGGGGACTTCGGTCCAAGTTCCTCCTTAGCGGCTTCCTCAGCGCCTCTCCCCAGCTCCCTCTTTCTCTCCCGGTGAAACCAAAACGCCGGTGACTTCACCCAAACCTGCCGGAGTTGACGAAAACTTGATGTTTGTCACTTCTAGGTCGCTTCAATCCATCTCGCTCCCTGCCGGAGAGAGGCTGGTGGCATTGCCTCCAAAGGCAATCCTGGCTTTCCCGTGGGCACCTCCGCTCGCTCCCGACACGGGACGCGCTCGGATCGTCCCGGCTTGGAGCTCTGGGTTGCTGCAGCCCAGCCAGGCCCCGGGGCTGGCTTGGCCCGGGGCTTCCAGGGAGCACCCACGGCTGGAGCCCTCCCGTTGGGTGGGAGTTTGAAGGACTGGCTCTTTTATTGGAAGGCAGCTCTGGCTTTTAGAGCAGGAAGCACTGGGTTGTGTCTTATTATTCTGAAATTGTGTCTTCGTATTCTGAAATTTTGCTTTCCCCCTGCTTGGTAAAGGTAAAATCTGCCTCTGCCAGCATGGAGAAGTGCAAGTCATTGGGAGCATCTCTCTGGCTGCTCTCGGTGGGTTGCTGGGATGTGGAACATTTCTTCTGTTTCYTCCTCCTACTTATTTGGGTTTTTTTTCCCAATAGATCTCTGGATTTTAATTCAGGTCCAAAAATTCTTCTGCTGATAAACCTCAGCTCATGAACTTARTTAAAACTACGCAACAAAATTAAAGGCACAACACAAGATATCAGTTTGCTTTTTGAACTCTCTGACCTAGAACATCTTCCAKAAGGACCCATTTCCCGGGCCAGGGGCTTCGGTTCAGACCTGGGCTGCCTCTCACCAGATACCATGAGCTCTACGTGCTGCTCTTGTGGGCACAGCCCAAAGCAGAAGGCCAGTATCAATTGCCTTGGGTTGAAAAGGTTGGGAGAGCTGGACCTCTTCAGCCTGGAGAAGAGAAGGCTGAGGGGGGACCTGATCAGTGTCTACAGATACCTCAAGGGAGGGAATGAGGAGGATGGAGTGGCCTCTTTTCAGTGGTGGCCACTGAGAGAACTAGAGGAAATGGCCACAAACTGAAGCACCAAAAGTTCCACAGGACCTTGGGGATAAATTTCTTATCAGTGAGGCTGCCCAGAGAGGTTGTGGAGTCTCCTTCTCTGGAGATCTCCCAAACCTGCTTGGATGCAGCCCTGTGCCACATGCTGTAGGTGACCCTGCGTGTGCAGGGGGCTGGACCAGATGGTCTCTGGAGGTCCCTTCCAACCTTAAGGATCCTATGATTCCATGAAAAGGGTTGGGGGAGCAACATAAGCTTTTGAGACCACATCTACAAGGTGACACTGACACCTCAGTTGATGCCCAGTCCCAGCTTGGTCCAAGAGGCCGAATGTGCCGGCCTTGGAGCTGCGGCTRACGGCAGCGTCCCGGGCTGCTTGCCCAGGGTGTCTCCTCTCCCACGACCACTTTATTTAATTCTGTGATCTTGCTACGCCCCAGTTAATGACCCGCTTCAAGGTCTGTACTTTATGCAGAACTTTGAGTTTTTTTCCAATTCTTTTATTTCCCCTTCTCCCAGAGGGGGAAAAAAAAAGAGAGATTATATGAATCTGAGAGATTTTAATGAGGGTGCCAGTCTTGCTTTTGGTGTCATTTAGAGGGGATTCAGTGCTACAACTTCATTACGCCTCATTTGGGTAACTTATGTCATGGCTGGGTGTATCTGAGAGGCGCATCGAGCCTGGGATCTCTTTGCTGTGTGGCCTTCAGACGGACCCGGCGCTCATTCCCCGCTTTTGAAGTCCTAATTCTCTTTCAGGCGATGTTGCAATGCCTTTCTATAGCGTTGGGCCCCTGAAGTCAGAGATTCCTAATGCAGAACCCAGCCCCTTTGCCTAAGAGCTTCCAGTCCTGCCGTCCCGAGCGGCGCGAGCGCAGACCTTTCCCGCGGCTTTCTTGCGGAGATGCCTGCTGTAGAGCCTCATCCCCTACGAGATCCTTCCTGCAGCCTGCGCRGCCGACCTTGCAGCCGTTCCTGGGCTGAAGGCGAGCGATGCTGCTGCTTTGCAGCCGCTAGAGGTCAAGATTGTGCTGCCGCCGTGGCCGGGACCTCGGTGCTGCTGCCCGCGCGGTGCCCAGCGCCGCGGACCGAGCAGAGCCCAGCGTGGTTTGCAAGGACAGTTTTCCCTTGACCCTTTCAATYTGGGTTTTCCAACCCCTTTTCTGCTTCCATGATGTCGCAGCAGAAGCAGTGCAGGATCTAAAAGCTCAAGGTGTGGTCTGGGGTGGCTTCTTTGGCCACCTGCGACAGGGTCTCTAGGATTCCTTCTTCCGTGTGAGGTTGGGTGGTTCTTCTGGGCACCTTGCTGKGGGTTGCGCTGTGTGTGCAACTGCTGCACAGGAGCGATGAAGCCCTCAAAGGGGCTTGATTTTGATTGTATAGAAAATGTCTATAAATATAATGATAGATGTGTGTGTATATATATATACACACACACATGCATTTGTATATGTGCGTGTTTGATATATCTGCACCATCTAAACCGACTGCCTTTTAGCAAGGCGTCTGGATGGCTTCCATACATCTTCCTCTCTTGCTCTATCTGTGAATGTGGGAGAGATTCTGCAAAGCCGTGTGCGTGTGTCCGTACAAATCCCAGGCTGGCAGAAGGTTTAATTTCTTCCTTCAGCAGAGCTTAATGGAGAGGGGCAGTTAATTTGATGGCCCAACCTTTTCCCCACCGTGTTAGACATGAGTTTGTGCCCAGCGTTGGGATGGTACCTCTAGGCTGAACCTCCTTGGACCACGGGGGCCAAACTGGGGCTGATTTCCCTGGGAGGAAGCCGGGATGAGCCGTGTCCATGAGCCATGAGCAAAGCCGGAGCCGAGGAGTGCGGGTCACCGGTGGCTCCGGGGAGCGCGGGGTCGGGGACCCCTCGCAGATCATCTGCAAACGAGCAACGTGCAATTAAGATCTCCTGGGGTACCACAAGAATGCTTTCAGGAACCTCTGGGGTCCAGATGTGGAATGTTTTGTGCTGACACGGGTTGAAAAGAGAGGAACAAATCCAACAGTTAAGTAGGTCCTTTAATTTAGCCTGTGACAGTCACCACATGGCCTACGGGCTAATATTTCTGCATCTGTGCTGTAAATAGATCAATATGGCAGCGTGAGGGGTTTGGCATTTTGATTTGTGAAGAGTCAGAAGATTGTTTGTGTTGTTGCATAATCACTGAGATGGTTTTGAAATGAATCTTCTGTTTCTCTGGAATATCTGGGTTAGGGAAAACATAACATTTCTAAGTTCCATTAAGTGCGTGTTTTATTTTGCCTCATTTGTTGTATTTCAGGTCCGATTGCATCTTTTGGCTGGAAAAAAAAAAAAAAGAAAAGGAAAAGAAAAAGAAAATGCAAGCTCGAGGATGCTATCATAAAACCTGAAATCTGCTTTTTTTTCTAGGCACAGCAGCAAAGAAACCTGGACAATATTGTATCACAGCACCCCAGGATAAGTGGCGGAAAGAAGTCCAAGAAAGAAGCCTGCGCAAGCTCAGAGCTGGAGGTAAAAAACACTAGCCCCATGTCTGAGCAGGATTCGGGTATCCTGGATGTTGAAGATGAGGATGAGGATGAAGAGGTAACTGTATAATATCAATCGGAGGTGACTAGATAGCCKGGGGGGGGTGCCTTGAGTGTCTTGAAGGGTGTTTGTACCTGTCTCTGTGCGCATGTCCTCMTGCAACTTAACTGTAAAGATGTGGAAAAGACGGGGGAGATGCTGGGTGGCTTTCCTATTTAGGTCACGTTGTCCCTTTGCCCACGTTCTTGTGACATGCGCCCTCACAGAGCGTTCCCTGGAGCCGGAGGAGCCCCTGTGGTCTGGCCCGCAGGCCGCCCGGCGGCTCCGGGGCCGCGCGCCGGTGGCCCGCGCAGTCTGGGATCCATCCCGAGCCATTCAAAGGAAGGGGGAAAAAAAAAGGCCACATCGTGTGCGAGATGCTCGGCCTCCGCCGCGCAGCGGGTGTGTTCGTGACAGACGCACACGCTCTGTGCCGAGCAGCGCTGCGGGCGGACACCGTGCCGGGATGCGCTTTTAATCCCTTGATGTGCTCAGCCTGCGCTGCGCTCAGCCTCCAGCCCCACCGTATAGAGTCTATAGGAGGGAGGAGCGCGGTGCTGCGTGGGAAACATCCCCCGTGTCTGACCCCTTGTCCCTGCTGCCATCTCTCCACTGCTGCTTCCCCTGGCTGTTTTCCTGGCTGGAATTTCCTAGCCCCTACAGCATGCCATGCTAAGCATAAATGCCAAGCGTAACCTCTGCTGCTAGTCCTTGCTCTTTCTAGGGAATAAAGGACGTTAGTGGAACATCTCATCCCGAGTTTGCTTCAGCTGCAAACTCGTCCCTTCCCTGCATGTGACTTCTTTCCTCTTCATCCTCCATCACCCCTTTCTCCAAGCGGAGGCAGGCACAGAGCCCCTCGCGCTGCACCAACACCAGCTGCATGTGATGCTTCCACATCAAAATGGAAATGGAGCAGAAGTTGAAAGAAAAATGAGGAGCACCTTAGGGAGAAACAATTATTGATCGGAGTATATCTCTTTAGCACTTTTCTGGAAAGGGAAAAAATCCTTTTTTGAGTAGCTCTTGTTCCATCCCACTCTCAAGGTCTCCCTATTGCTTTGAAATGAATTATCCCTCAATTAGGAGGCTGTAGAGCTGCTCACTGCGGCGCAGGTAGAGTTGGAATCTGAGAAGAACTGAATGATGTAAACGTTAAGAGGAGAAGTTTTTTAAGTTGGGAGAAATCTCTTCATGCGGTTTATCAAACTGCTGCCTAGTGTCTAAGTGGATGAAGTCCCATGTCTTGGTATGTTTAAGGCCAGCCTGGTAGAAAGCCAGCAAGCTTAGAGTAAGGATTAATCCTTCGCTGGTGGGAGCACAAAGGTTGTTAGGAGGAGGTTGTTGGAGAAGTTGGTTCTTCAGGTTGGCCTGAGAAGGCCACGGATTGAGTGGAGCGATGCCCTTGGGAAGCCCAAGAGCAGGAGCATCCAGGAGGAGCTGCTGTCCTTGGTGATGAAACCGGTGGCAAGGTGGCCCTGGGCAGCGGACGCTGACGATCTTCTCTTGGAGAACGACTCTGATAGCACAGCTGGGAGTCGCGTCGGGAACGGAAGGACCTGGAAACAGCCGGCAAGTTGAAGGAGCATTAAGTGCAAATCGTTCGTGCTGGACTTCTCGTAAGGGTTCACTGAAGTGACAAGCCAGCTGCACAGTTGTTTTCTCGTGGTTGACGGAGTCATCCCAAGCTTTTCCTCTTGGAGTATGACTTCTCATCCTTCCGATGACCTTGTCTGTGCGGGGACAATAAGGCAGGCTTAGAATCCGTCTAATAGGGAATTTTCACTCAAATAGTTCACTCAAATAGTTAAGTATCCTGAGGGCAGGGAAATTGCATCGTGTWTTGTACCCAGCCTTCGTCTTGTGGAGCTCTGAGGCCCAAGAGGGACAACACGGTGGCAGGTGGCACACGTTGTTTCCTGTGTTTAGCCCTCTGACGTGCCCAGATTGCTGAGGCTGATATTTCCCTGGGAAACCGGGAACGCTGCTAACAACCCTGGGAAGGAAACGGCAGCCCTCGGAAAAGAAAGTCAGTAGACAAGTTAAAAAATGACCTGAAAGTGCTCAAGGACAGCAGTCATTGCTGTTCCTGTTCACACAGCTCAGCAAGAAGCGCCAAGCGGTGACCCCAGGTCTCTGATTAAACAACCGTTGGTTGAATTTTGGAGATACTGTGGTCCAGGGTTATCCCTGTATGGATTCCTCAATGAGGTGGGAGGTCCCCGAATAACCGGAGTAAGGGAGCAGGAGATGCAGCTTAATGAAGGTCTGAGTCTCTTGTAGAAAGCCCGAGAGCTGTCTGATGTTGTAGCTGCTTCAAGTTAAAAAGAGTGGATCTCAACGGGAGGGGAGGACTTGCAGGTACCCTCTGTGGACTGGAGACTACATGGTTTCCTCATAGAAACTGAAAAACATCTGTTCTAGTGAGTGACAGGATTTGGAAGAACCTCTCGAAGTCTCTAGTCCAAACTCCTGCCTTAAGCAGAGCTATCAATAACACAAGCCTGGTTCTGCTATCACCTAATTTAGCTGCTTTTTTGTTGTTGTTGTTTGTTTTTAATCCTGGCGGATGGATATCCATCCCAGAATGGCAATTCCCCACAACTTGAGGTGCCCTGTTGGGGTTCAGCACAGCCATTCCCACCTCCTGCGCTAACACRAAGCTCCCCAGCAGAGCAGCCTGGAGGGGACACGACGAGACCCCAGATCTCGAGGTTTTCCCTTGACCCTGTTTTGGTCTTTGCTTGTTCTTTTACCCCAAGCATGAATTGCACCTGCAGGTAGCCCCGTTTTTGTGTTGTTAGCCAGCAAAGACCCGCTGAGGGTCCGTCCCTGTGGGAGAGGGGGAATTTTAAGGAAGAACAGCACGTTTCGGAGCAGCGGCGGCTCTGCCGTCACCGGAGCAGGAACTTGCAGCCAGCCTCGGATTTGGCAGGGAGCTCTGGCRCTGCGGATATCAGCAGGTGTGAGTCGGGGCTGAAACTCATCAAACTTCTGGCAGCCTGTCCGTTGACCTGGCTGGAGGAATCATTCCCTACATGATAAAATAACGTTCGATTTGGGGCAGCTGGAGCGGGGACCCCAGGGAGCCCCGTGGACCTTCCTGGATCAATGGGCTTTGGTGGGTGCCATCGGCCTTCACCTTTCCTTGCTCCCGCTGGTAATGATGCAAAAAGCACGTTGGCCGCTGGGAATGAGCCCTCTCTCTTTCCAGACAGAGCTGTTTTCCTGTTGTCTCTAACGCCAGCCAGGATGAGATCAGATAGTCTGCGGGCCGCTCTTGCCAGGTTCAGCATCGTGCTGCTCGGAGCATCCCCTTGACCGCCTGAATTGATTCCGGGCTGTTTCCCCCGAAGTTTAGCTGCTGGAGCGCTCGGAGGCCTCACGGAGTGGGGTGGCAAGGATTTGTCCCCATCTCTGTTCAACGCGGGGTAAAACGCTCCAGGAGCAGAGCTCTGTGATGGGATGGCTGGAGCTGCGTGGGAGCAGGGCTCCTCTCACCCATGGAGGTCAACGGGCTCGTTCTGCAGCGCAGGAACGTGCGGGGAGGCCCAGCCTGCTCCTTTGGACACCCCGATCCCACAGTTGTGTGTTCACTTGCTCTGGGCATCTGTGCCCTTAAAGCAAAGGACCCAGGAGCTCATCCGTAAATGAATCCCTAGTGCTGCACTCCTGCTTCCGTGCAGAAACAAGGCAAGTATCTGGCCTGTGTCACATCTTTACATCAAGAAGCAACAAGGATCAAGCTCAAGCCACCGCACCACAAATCCACCCCAACCCAGGTCAGCGTATCCCTTAGCTCTGAGACTACAACAGATCTTACACTGCAGACCTCTCTTCCATGGGTTACGTTTGCCAGAATCCGTGTGGAGCCCAACTGGAAAGCGGCGTTCCCAAGGGAGAGGGTTCAGCGGCTGGGACCCCAGCGGCTCTTCCTGGGCTCCCCGTACGTGCCAGATGTGCAGTTGGGATGAGGCTCGGGACGCCCGTGTTAGCCGAACAGGGAGGACAAGGAGGAGAGGAATAACACGGTCTCTGTTCTGGGAGTTAAAAGCAAAAAGATGAGGCTGAAGCGCAGCTGTCAGGGCAGCCGCTGTTCGGCGCCTGAGGAGGCTCTAGCTCCAGTTTTGTTGCCAACTTTCAAAAAAAAAAAAAAAATCAAAGCTTTTCTTTGCTTTTTTCATTGTTTTTTGAGCAGTGGTAGTACAGCTTTTGCTAGGAAGATTGAGCAGCTCCTGAAGTCTGAGTGATGAGGAATATCCGTTTATTTTTGTCTGTTTTCCATTTGGGAAAGAAAAAACAACAAATCCCCAGTGCTTGAATCTGGGGTGATATTTAGGAAGAGCTCCTTTCCTTTTTTCCTCCCCAAATTTGGCCTTTCTTTGATTTCCGGTGCACTTAACACCAGTGCTCTCGGGTTTGTGCCGTCCTGTCTGATAGTGCTTTGACTGGATGAACAGTTGAAGAGTTGTGAATGTCTTAGAGGTTAGTTTTGCAGAATAAACCAGGATATTTGGTGTGTCTGTGTGGACTTCAAAGCCTCGCAGAAGATCAGAGCCCATGCAAATGTTGCCACCTCCTTTGAAAGGGTTTTGCCGGGCTGGTGAAGTCTGTTTCTGGCAAGTGCTCAGTTGCACGAATCTTTATCAACTTATTTTGTGTTCAGCTACTGTCCATTGCCTGGGAGAAGCAAAGAAGAGTTTGATGGTGAATTCCAGTTCAGTGGAAAACATCGTCTGCTTTGATGGTACTGTGAGGAGAAGATGGGTTTGCCCATGCTGAGAGGAACATCAGACAATAGACAACCTGTCTGGTTGGGATGCTGTGCYCTGTGCTCCGGGTGCCCTTGCTTGAGCAGGGGGTTGGACTGGATGGTCTCCAGAGGTCCCTTCGAACCATGCTGCTTGCTGGAGGATGTCTTGGTTGAGCGTGGGGATTTCCCCACCCGCATCAGCCGTCGCATTCGATGACTTCTGAGCCAAATTGTTTGACCGTTTTTAGCACCTGGAGCCCACCTGCTTTTAATGCTATGGGGACAGAGTGAGGCAAAAGGATGGAACTGGGCCTGGGAGCTATGGAGGAGCCATAGAAGAGCTGGGAGACTGCAAGCGCAAAGGGAGCAACAAGGAGACACAATAAGTCCCACAGCAACAGGCCAAAGTGGCTGCCGAGCGTTTGCATCATTGGATTTAGTTTTGCTTTTCAAAGCTTCGTCAGCAAGACCAGTAAATCTGCACGAGACAAGTGGGGCTGTTGGTCCACCTTGAACCTTGGGTGAGGACCTCCGTTATGGAAGGGAGGAAAGGAGAGCGCAGCAAGGGAGACTGGTGGGTGTCCTCTAGCAGCTCTGGCTCCTCGCCGGGCAGGAGGTTTGAAGCAGACTCCCCTGCTTGCCCTTTGCAAGCCATAACTTCTGCGTGGGGCGAGGAGGACCAGCGCCCCGGGCGCTCGGGCCGCGGTGGTTGGGACTTGCCCACCCAACCCCAGCTAGAAACTTCTGCTCCCATCCCAGCTCCTTTGGAGCCGAAAGGCCTCTTAAGCGTAATTAGAAATGTTTAAAATAAACATGTTTCCCAGGCCTGTCCAGTGGGCGCCTTTCATCTTGCTCCCCTTTCTTCCCCGCCGCGTGTCAACAGAACACTCCCGCGGGCCGAAGGAGGCGCGCGGCCGCTTTATGCCGCGGCCAACAAGCTCGACGCCCCGGTGCCTCCGAGGTCTCCAAAGAGCCGGGCTTCTCGCATGCAAATTCCTCCTCTGATCTGCCTCCCTCCTGCCCGCCCGGCTGCTCGTCCTCGTCCCTTCCGCGAGATGCGCGAGGCTGTTGAAAGACGGGGGAGTCTGGTGTGGCTGGGGTGTTTGTGAAGAACAAATGGCAGCGTTAATGCTTTTGAAGAAACGGAGCTAGAAAGCCAGAGAATAAGGGGTTTTGCTGTTGCATAAGAGCCAGTATGGCCCCTGCCAGGACGCTTGAACTCGCGCTTTAAGCCTATGGTCAAAACGAAATTTCTTGTGTCTCTGCTGAGGCAGCTATCCTGGGGCCAAGGGATACATGAGAGTTTCCTCGGGGAACCTAAGTGGAGCATGAGAGAGATTAAATGATTAAATGACTTTTTTTTTAACCCCTGCTGTGAGAGCCTTTAAAAATGTAAATATGGGCAAATAAAATAGAGATCAATAATTACCCTTAATTCTGCACCCCTGAAATTCTTCATATCGTGCTCTGTCAGACCTGCATGCCTTGAATTTACCCTGAGCTCTGTGTGCTTGGGGCATTGAGCACTCGTTGCCTGCTGTGTTCTAGGTGCCGGGCGCTCAGGACTTGGTGGACTTCTCTCCCGTGTATCGATGCCTGCACATATACTCCGTGCTGGTAAGTGTGAGCGCCTCGCGAGCTGCTCTGAAACCACAGTTGGGTTCTGTGTCTCCCATTCCCACGAGGAAGTGGTTGCAAACATCATATTTGTATTTGCCCCGYTACGAAGTGTGTTACCTGCAATGGAAAATCAGCCTGTGCCTGCAGYGCTGGACGGGTTGGGGTAAAAAACCTCTTGTGGCTCCTTAATACGGCACCCGGCAGCAGGAAAGGGCATTTTCTGCAACCATTGTAGACTCTGGGTTTGTACTAGGCCAGATACATATTTCTTGCTTGTATAGTTTCCCTGAAAGAATCTTTCTTTAACCACAAAAGCTTTGGTATTCAGTGCGAACTGGGGAACCGAGGAGAAGTATTAGAGGTTTTGTTGGAGCTAGGAGAAATGCTGCAGTCTTCAAACACACTTTGACGGGCTGCTATTTGACAGGATCAGATTTGCTACTGTCCAACAAAATCCACCGTTTTGCTGTCTCGGTTTCCAATTTCCAGTAATTAGATTTTTTTTTTTGAGTGCTTTTTCTTTGAGTGCACTGAGAAATATGGCTAAACTCAATGTGTTCTCTGCTGGCATTTACTTACTGCTCCTGCTGTTACATGAGGCTGGGTATTACGACCCTGAGTGTCGTGATATTCCTGAGAGCATTTCGGGAAGCGTCTCATTACTAGTGATGCAGGCTGCTAGATGAACCATGTTTCTTCCCGAGGATGGAAAACGTTGAATTTTACATATTTATGTACAAAAGAAGCAGGTGACCCTTGTTGATGGCACTTCAACCTTCATTGCAGCTCTTAATTTCTATGCAGGACGTACAGATGGGTTTGCAGAAAGGTGAAAGGTTGCAGTAAAGAAAGCCAAAAAAGAAGCAGAATAATTTTTTGTCTCTTCATGTGTTAATAATTTTCTAATTTTGGCTCTGGAGCCCCAGTGTTTTACTGGAATGAAGGAGCGAGTTTTACCCCCAATATGGGACTCTGGAACCGAACATCCCACTGAAAAGCGATGCTGGGTGCCCGTGAGCRACATGGGTTGCAAACAGGTCCAGGAAGGCACATTTTGTTAACAAAAGGGTAAATACCCGGGTGTTTAGATGCCTAAGGGGGTATTAGGGAAGGAGGGAAGGTTTTCTGTGGTAGAGATAAGGGTTTTCTTTCCCRTATGCACGCAATGTATAAGGCAGGCGCTGCAGAAGTGGCGTCGCCAGGACGGCCGCGGGGAGCAGAAGGGGAAGCAGCTCCTCAAAAAGCCCAAATTGCCCTTTTTCTGACCCGCGTCCCGAGCTGGCCGCCGCCGCCAGCGCCGCGGGAAGCGGCGGCGGGCGGAAGGATCATAGCGCGATAGTTCCCCAAAGAGGGGAAAAAAAGAACAAAAACACAAAAGAAAAAACACCCTAATATTTGTCACTTACAATAGCGTTATCTAAACGCCGGGCCCTGCCGTGGCGAAAGGCCCGCGCTGAGTAAACAGGGGGATATTTATTATTTTTAGTGAACCCGACCTCCCAGTCACCTCGGGTTTTATGGCAGCCGCTCGCTTATAAATTCCCCGAGGATTACGGCAAGAGTCGGGGCGGGGGGGGAGAGGTGGGAGGAGACAGAAAAGGAAAAAAATAAAATAAATAATAATAATAAAAACAAAACGGAGGCCGTATCGGCGGCCTTATCGGGGGGCAGGAGTTCAGGCATTGTGCGCGGGGGTCGGCGGGCGGTCACGGCCTCGYGGCCGGGCCCGGGCACCTGTAAATCCTTCCGGCGGCAGCCAAGGCGAAGGGCAGGCGCGAGCAGGCGCTGCCGGGAAGCGCYGGCTCCGGCAGGAAGGGCAGAGCCCGGCCGCCGCGAGCCGGAGCAGCGGGAGGAAGGGGGGAGAAAGTGAAGGCGGGTCAGGCGGCGGGGAGCGCGCCGCTGCGGCGGGGAATGGGCCGCCGTGGAGGCCCCTTCGTGGGCCTGCTCGTGCACAGTGCCTTTTTTATGGGTTTTTTTTGCCCATGGAGCTTCTAGAGAGGGTCCCGCTGAGGGCAACAAAGGTGATTGAGGGACTGGAGCATCTCTCGTGCGAGGAGAGCCTGAGTTGGGGCTGTTTAGCCTGGAGAAGAGAAGGCTGAGAGGGGATCTGATCAACATGGATAAGTTCATGAAGGGGGAATGTAGCGAGGAAGGGGCCAAGTGACAGGACAGTGGTGGCCAGTGACAGGACAAGGGGCAGTGGGGACAAGTTGAACCCCAGGCAGCTCCATCTCCATGTGAGGAGGAGCTTCTGCACTGTGAGGGTGCAGAGCCCTGGCCCAGGCTGCCCAGGGAGCTGCGGAGGCTCCTGCTCTGGAGATCTCCCAACCCGCCTGGATGCGCCYGGGTGCCCCGTGCTCTGGGTGTCCCTGCTGGGGCAGGAAGGTTGGGCTAGATGATCTCTAGAGSTCCCTTCCAACCTTGAACATTCTGTGATTCTGCGATTCTGTTTTTTTGCAAAAAATTGCTGGCTGATGGTGTCTTTAGGACTACATGGGGTGACAGGAATATTGGCAGCTCTAAAGCACACCTCTGTGTGCTCTCTGTGGCCCTGCAGTTCACCAGGAGCTGCCTTCTCCTGCGGTGATGCGGGCGGCTGCTGGGTTGCTCTCAAGCAAGGGTGAATCCCTCAGTGTTAGCAAAGGTACAATGCCCTTTTCTGGGGAAAATAAAGAAAAACGAGGAGCTGAGGGTGCAGTTTGGGGTGTTTTGCAAAATCCACAGCCACCAGATGATGGAGGGAGTGATTTGTGCCAAACCTTGGCCACTCATCGGCTTCTTGGTTGACCCAAGTTGGTGGCCAGGAGGGTTCAAGCTCCACCAGGCCGCTATTCAGTGCCAGTGGATCACCTTGGCCCTCTCCTTGAGGTAGCAGAGAAGGTGGTTGGGGATGATAATATCTAAAGCATAAACACAGGAGTCCTGCGGTGCGGTGGTTTGCGCCACGGCCGTGTTTATCTTCTAGGCTGCCGTCAACCAAAGCGCGCGCGGTGCTTTGATTGGGGGCCAAAGGGAATTAGGCGAGGTGAGGTCTGGGCCAGCTGGGTTTATCTGTGGGAGCATCTCGAGCAGCTGTCAGGAGCCTTGTCTTGGGAGGCGAAGACCTGGGAGCACTGAGATTTACAGAGCAAAAATCGAAAACASCGGTTTTGTTTCGTTTCTCCCCAAAGCTCGAGCGAGCAAAGAGCGGGACAGCAGCAAAAAGCCCCCAGAGGTGGTGGCTTCTGCTCGGAGGCCGATCCCGGAGGTTTCAGTCGCTGCCGTTGCCTGTTGGTGCTCGGTTAGGGGGTTTTATTTAACTTCATGCTAMTGGGTTACCGATTCCTTTGAGGTTTCCTTGCGCGCTGGGGCAATCGCGGGGACTGGCACTCCCAGCCCTTTGATCTTGAGCTACAAAGGGGGTCGATTTAGGGGAAGAAACGAGTGTCCGTAAATAAATAAATAACAAAAAAACAGAAAAAAACTCTGATGTAAATACAAGCTTTAAAAAGGCAGCCACTGCTCCGTTAATGAGGGATTTCTGAAAGATCGCAAGGCTGAGTAATTGAGAGCAACAGTAGTTGACACGTATTTACTGTACGTTCCTTCTCTCTTGCCGTTGCCGTTCCTGCTTGCTCTGTTGCTTCTCCAACACTGAAACTGCTTTGATATGTTAGGGAAGGTAGGAAAATGCACGATAAATAGAAATGTTCTCCGTTAAAAGCTGTCCACACGGAGCCTTTTGGAAGCCCCTGCATGAAAAAATGAGGCGTTTTGTTTAGCCTTGTTCTCCCAGTGCACTCAGACCTGCTTGTTTTTATGATAAATGGGGCGGTCAGGCTTTCCATCCCTGCTTCTCCAGGCTCTGTGGAGAAGCTCTGCTTGCTGGGACAGGCCACGGCCATGGCTATGGATGGTCCCCATGCAACCTGTGAAGCTCTGGGATGCTCCAAAATGGTTGCTCGCTGTTGATGGGAGTTCTCCCTTCAAGGGGCAAGAAAACAAGGAAAACGAGGGGAGTTCTCCCTTCAAGGGGCAAGAAGGTCCCTTCTAGGAGCCGAAATTCAAAGGTGAAGCCCTCGATACCGTCCCTTTCCCATGAAGAGCTGCCCTTTTGCCCTTGGTGCAACACGCGTTGTCTTTTTGCCTTGGATAAACTGTGCCCTGCAGAGCCTGTGACCAGCTCCTGTTTTGTATATGTATTTTTTTTTTTTTTTTTTTTTAAGATCGGGGCCATAAAGTTTCTTTGCTCTGTGTCCTTGGGAACTTTAAACGGTTTGAACTTTGTTTGGGGCGGGGGCAGCGTGGAAAACTCTCCTTCTCGAAGGCTCCGCTAACTCCTTGTTCATCTCCGACACTTTGCAGCTTGTCCCATCGCTCCAGCCTGGCCTATCTCACTGTCTGCTGACTTGGCTGACCCGCGGGTGCCTGCTGCAGCTAGATAGCTATAAACACCGCCCTGAGATCATAGGGGAAGGCTGAGGGTGAGCCACTTTGTGCGCGGGGTTGATAAGGACACAGGAAAAGCCATTAGAGCGAACCGGTGTCAGTGACCTGCGATAACCGCTCTGTACTACGTGCTAATGGGCCCCGGGTAGCGGGGCTGTCTGGAGTGGCAATAGATTTAACTTTTGTAATTGTCATATTGCTCTTTTAACCCCGTGACCTTGTTACCCATGAGAAAACCACTTGGCTTCGATCAAAGAAGCAGCCAAGAAAATCAGTGTTCATTCTAAGCTGCCTAGATAGGATCGCGGGCAGTCGTCGGTCTTAAAATACTCGGTTTGGAAAACAGACGTGTTAGGAAGGAAAAAAAAAAACAAAGTCCCGTGCTGACTCCTGCAGGAGCCGGGGCGCAGACTTCTTGTCCCCAGTGGCCCGGGGCCGAGCTGAGCTTTCCCAGGGCTTTACAAAGCTCGGCCCCGTTGCTTGTGGCTCTGCTCACGGCAAACGTCTTTTACGCTTATTGGTGACCTTGTTGTGATCCCCTTGTTGTGATGTTCTAGTGTTGGTGGCCA